GGGCAAGGAGACCCACACATGGGACACGAACGGGGCAGCCAGGGGCTTCAACAGGAAGCAGAGCTGCAAAGGGCTGGCTGTCCCACCCGGCCTCGATCTCTCCCGCTGTGATAACAGATTATGATTCGTGTGGGATGTCTTAGGGTGGAGCCAGGCTCAGCATGTGGTGGAGGTGGAGGGGCATGGAGTGAGGTTGTCTAAACTGTGGGTCCGGGAGCAGTCATGACACCTGTGTGGGCCCCTGAAGGTGGCAGCCACTCGAGGCACTGCTCTGTCCCACTGAATCCCAGGCTCCGGGGGGCTGGGCCCAGGTACCGAACGTGAGCACTCAGGTGTTGTGTGTCCCCATGAACACTACGTTGCCCAGGGTCGTGAGTGGCAGGGCACGGCCAGGGAGCGGCCGGGGAGCCATGAGCGGGGAGCGAGTGGTCAGGCTCTAATGGAGGTGGGTTCTCAAGGGAGGAGAATGAGGGGGTTGGAGGTGGCCTGGGGGACAGCGGGGTGATGATCTCTCAAAGGGGCATCCATGAGCCAGAGGACGATGGGGGAAGACCCTTGGTTCACAGCCCCTCCTGGCCTAGCTCTTCGAGGAAGATGGAGGCCAGAGGAACCAGGGGCCAACCCAGTCCATCCCTGGCTTCCTGCTCGCTCCCTTTACTGCCCCCCAATCCTCTGCATCCCCAGAAAGGCAGTGGGGAGGGCCCAGCTCCCTCTCTGCAGCTCCCATGCCCCACCTCCACCTCCAGGTCGGGCGCTTGGAGGCTGTTCCTGGAGGAGGCACAGAGACCTTCTCAATGTTTCAGCGACCCTTCAGAAGTGACCCTGCTAATGGGCTGACCCTTCCTAGTGGGTAGGCGGAGACCCAGACCCAGCAGGATGCTGGGTTCCCAAAGCCTCCAACTCAGCCCCTCCTGCAGTCCCCGTGGGCTCGGAGGGTCCTTGCCAGGGCCGGAGAGGGGATGAGTAGGGGCAGTTTGTGGCTCTGGGATCCAGGAGTGAACAGGGGTTGTGGATAATTAGTGGGAGACCCTGAGGAGGCAGGAGAAGGCAGAAGGGGAGGTGTATGTAGGGATGAAGCTCTTGAAGATGTCGAAGGGCTGAAATCCGAGTCCTTCTGTCATAGCTTCCCTCTGTCCAGCCAGAAACAGCAGCCGGGGCCATGAGAGGGTGGGAGGTAGGATTTCCCTGGGCCAGAGGTTCCCAGGAGCTAAGAGCCTAGAAAGCCATGGAACACTCTAGAAATGCCTCCAGTAGAGTCCTCTTGAAGAGACTCCTCATTTGCGCATGTGTGCTTTAAGGCGGGAGTCCTTGGTTGGTGCAAATGGCTGTGTGCCAGGCTACTAGCCCCAAGATCAGCAGTTCAGATCTACCGAGAGGTGCCTCGGAAGAAAGTCCTGGTGACCTGCTTCTGAAAGGTCACCGCTACAAAGACCCTAGAGAGTGCAGCCCTACCATGAAATGCATGGGTGGAATCAATGTGCACTATCTTTGGGGGGAGGAGGGATGGGTTTAAACCCACCATGTTTCACAGCAGTCAGCCCTGGGGTGGAGTGCGTTCTGTTATCATTGGACTGCTCACCTCCAGGTCAGCAGTTTCAACCCACCTGTCACCCCTTGGGAGCAAGGCGAGGCTCTCTGTTCCTGTAAAGAGTCACAGCCTCAGAAATCCACAGGGGCATCTCTACCCTGCCCCAAAGGGCTGCCACGGGGCAGAAGTGACTCGATGGGAGTGGGTTTGGTGTTATAGGGTGTTTTTTCGTTCTGTTTCATGGCAAAGGTGGGGATTTACGGATTCATCACAGTCATTCAACAGCTGGACATGCGCACAACACTCAGTGTCCTAAAAGGAGCCCCGATGGCTGGTGGTTACTTTTTGGGTTGTGAATCACAAGGTCAGCAGTTCGAAACCACTAGTCACTCCTCAGGAGAAAGACGGGGCTTTCTTGTTGCATACATGTTACAATCTGTGATGCGCACAGGGCAGTTTGACCCTGTCCTGTGGTGTTACTGAGTCAGCATGGGACTCGAGGGTGGTGAGCTTGGATTTGTTTGTGTTTTATTGTGGTTTAAGGATACTGTGTTCTGTCACTCATTTAATTCTTATGACTTGCTAAGGGTGCTGCCCACCAGGAAAGAGGGGCACAGAGCTGCTAAGGACGTTGTCCAGGCCACAGAGCTTTTGCTCAGAGAGCAGTTTCCAGGGGGGTCCAGGGGCGCCTGCGCTCTGGATCCGCGGTTTGTGTGCAGGAATCAGCTGTCTGCTCTCCAGGTCCCCTGTCTGTGGGGAGAAGAACCCTTGGCCCTGGCTTTACTGGGATCCTTTCTCCTTCCCTCAGAGGTTGTGGCCTGAGGAGAATTCTGGGGTGTCTGTCTCTCAGCATTTGCCTGGTCCCCGGGAGGAAGCTGAGGCACGCTAACAGAATGTCTACCTTTATTAAAGAAATGCTTCGTCGTGACAAGGGACCCAGATGGCGGCGTGGCATAAACGATATGTTGCATAAACAGGATACTGCCACCATCCCGCTTAATGACCGGTGAGATCTCCGTGTGGTGTTTACCGTTTGTCTTTATTTCCTTAAGTATGAAATGCTAAACAGGAGCCGAGCTCGTCCACATTCGGGCAAGTTTTCCCCGCCTTTTTTGGTTGTTGTTTTTCTTCCTCCAACAAACTGATTTGGTTACTTGGTTTATTATTCCATTTCACCAGTCAGATTATGAGCATTTATTTAAAAAACAACAGCAACAAAAGGAACAACCATTGAAAACAAGCAGGAGGAGAGAACAGAGCTATGGTCGGTGTGTATGTCAAACTACAAAGAACTAGTCATATGTGCTGTGGGTATTGCTGTCTAAAAACAAAGAAATAACAAAAAACCAAAACAAACAAAAAAAACCCCCAAAACCAGTCGGCAACTCGGAATCTGAAGGAATCTTGTCTGACAACGGTGCTGCGCTGTCCCTGTGAGCTACTGTGTGACGGTGGTGGCGGTGGCGGTGGCAGGTGTGGGGCTCAGGCTAAGTGACGGGAGAAGCAGGGTGACTGGGCGCAGGGCAGCTGGGGATCCCCTCCCTCACTTACCCGCCCTCTTCCCTTTCCCGAGCCAGGGCTGGTTAGAGAAGGCCAGAGCCCGTGGAAACGCCTAAAGCTCCGACTCCATAAGAAAACCCAAGAAGCATTACAAAAAAGAAAACACCAGAAGAAGAGCGCAGAGAAACCGTGCAAGAGACGTCTTGCATGTTAGTGGTTTTAAAAAATGAACATGGTAGGAAGCCCCGGTTGCTGGTGGGAAAACCCCACGCCCTCATCCACACGTGATCTCCTTTCTCTTGCACACCCAGCCGCTCTCCTTGGCGACCAAAGGGTTGCTTCTTCTTGGCCTTTGGCTCAATGAAATCCCCAGACTGAACTGTGCCCTCCGGGTTCTGAATGGATGGAGGTTGGGAACAGACGGCCCCACAGGGCAAGGGTGGTGGTGGGGCTTGGCAGGGCACGCTGGCAGCCCTGTTGGCTGCTAAGAAACTAGGGGGTGGGAGACAGTGGTTGAGGGGTACCTCCCTCAGTGGATGTTAACCCTGTAGGGCAGCCATGACCACAGGGGAGATGGTGGGAAATGGAGCCAGGCGTGAGGAAATGCAACCCCACCAGGCTTCTCTGGGTCCGTCGTCCTCCCCTGTTGGGGTTCAGTGTCTCCAGGCCTGTCTGTATAGGCCTGGCTGTCAGTGAGACTACGCAGTCACTTCCTTCAGGGATGCCTGCCTTTGCCTGGGTAGGTCAGGGCAGGCTGGAGGAAGAAGGGGCTGCCTTGGTGGTCTTTGCCCTGGGCGTGGGGAAGACCCAGGCTTCTTCACTCTACTGGAGTGAGGAGGTCAGAAGAGGGAAGAGATGAGGCCTCTGTGGTTTCTTGGCAGGACCATGGAAGGCTATTTTGATCATTCCAATCACCCGGAGTCTAAGGCCTCCAGGTGAACAGAGAGTCAGTCAACAGTTTTCCTGTAGTCAGAGAGATGCCTGCTCAGGACCGACAGCCTCATCCCACGTGTGCCAAGGGAAGAGATTCCACTCCTCCTTCCATGACTCCCGTGCCCTGGCCTTGTGCCCCTGGCTCAGGGGAGACCTCCTACTCGGGGAGGCTTAGTTCCACCTGTCCATGAGGTTCCTTCCTGTAGGAGGCGTTATCAGCCCAGAACCACCTCCTGCAAGCGTTGGAGACTTGCACGTCTGGGTCAGTAGACATGAACTTGGAATTCTCAAGAGTCTGGCTGAGTAAAACCAGGTGGCCATCATCCCCCTCCTCATGGCTGGCAGCAAAAACCGAGCCATTCAAAGTCCAGCCGACGACGTTGGGAGAAACGAGGGAGCCTCCATTTAAAAAAACCAGGTGCCGGCCTTGGGAGGGGGCATGCACTTCCCAGCTCAGTCTTTTCTTAGGGTGAATCACACCCTAACACCCACTTGGCGGGTCTCAGAGGACTGCTCAAGATGCAAAGAAAGAATGGGCCGAGAAGCAGGATTCTGGAGAAGGTTTAGGATACTGGCCTAAGACATCTAGAAATGTCAGTTTGGGGACAACTGTGCAGAGAGATGGGGCACACTGACATGGCAGGTCAGTAAGTCCTCCTGGCTTCCTTCCCCATCTGTCCCTTTGTCATATAAAGATTGGCCACCGCTCCCAACCCAAGTCCACTGTCCTGTCCAGGTAAGGAGCAGGGGACATCATCCACATTCAATCGTGGGATGTTTTCCAACAGTTGAAATACTATTTGCTCTTGGCCCCAAGTTCAGTGTTGGCTTCCACTGTGTCATGCCATCAGGGAAGCGGAGACAGTGTGTCCACAGAGGGAGAGAGGAGAGAGAGAGAAGGCTGTGCCTTCGCCTGTCCAACTGCTCCTTCCAGCCAGGCTATCTCCAGCCTTTGAGGATGGCCCAAGGCCACCCATCGGTTGAAGAAGTCAGGGGAGAGCGGGATTTTCTTTGTTCCGAATCTGGCTACCAACGGAACCTCCATTCTCTGGTGGTCCTGGCCCTTTCTTCCATCCTCCACGCAGGGGCGGAAGCAGGGACTGGCCAGAACGGATGAAGAGCTTGAAAGCCGCTTTGATCTCCACTCCTCCTTGCAGGCCAGAGCTGGGCATCTGAGCACAGTCTCGTCCTTTCAAAAACACGCCAGTCTCTACTCAGCTTTGCTCCATTCCAGCTTATGAAGTTCAGAAGCCACGTACTGGTTCCCACCTCCTCTTGCTTGACGGCCCGGATTGAGTCCATTGCTATGGACAGTCTGCTCCCCCGTTTTCATCTCTTCTTCCCCTTGAAGCCCAGCGTGGGAAAGCCAGGGAAGGCTCTGTTGGCTTCTTCTTTCTGCCGCGTTGTCCCCACAGCAGAATGGGCAGTCAGCCCTCCCTTCCTCCACTCCATCGCCCCTGGCCTGGACCATCCTTTGACTCTCTCAGTCGCAGTCAACTCTCCCTCCTCTTTTTCTCACTCTGCCGGGTATGAAGGCTGGGAGGGGCTTGCACAGTGCTGCAGGCTCCGCCCGGGTGAACTGAAGAGGGCCGGGATGGGGGTGCAGGATCAAAGCTCCCCTGGTGTGATATTCAGAGGCAGTCACTTCCTGAGGGTCCACACATGGAGTGGATGGGGGACACCGTCTGTGCACCACGGAGTCCCGGTGTCTCCCTAGCTTGATGGCACAGCTCACGTGGGTATGAACATGTGTACATAGGAAATCTTACAAAAGACTCCCACAGTCTGGCCCAGAGGGCTCCAGCAGAAGTTGGATGGTCTGACAAGAAGCAGGGTCTCTTCGTTTCCCCAGAATGAGGATGTTCCTCAATGCCCCGTAGGAACTACTTTGAAAAGTTAATGCAAACCATTGAAAGGAAGAAAGAAAGGAAGAGATAGGTATATGCCTATATAGGACGACGTGGGGCCTGGTCCGTAGACAGAGGCCCACAGAGGTCTTTCATCTTTCACCAGCCCTCCCACCAGAGGCTGCGTTAACGTGGGGCGGATGGAATGAGGACCCGGAATCGCATGTGCAAGGAGGAACGAGTCTTTGCCGCATTGGGGGCTGTGTTCGGGTTTCTCAGCGTCTGAGTAGGGTGCGAAAGACACGCCCCGTATGTCATATTTAGGGTAGCCCTTTAGGGATGCCTATCAATTTGCTGTGCTTTCAAAGGGGCGGAATGCATTTCTGGTTATTCAAGAGTCAATTCTTTTGGGGGAAGAACACCCTTCAGGGGCAAGGGGAGAGGAAGGTCCAGGGTCGAGCCATCTCCATCTTGGGCTGGAGGAGGGACAGGGGTCGCAGAGGCACTGCTGTGCTTTGTCTCTTTCCCTCCCTCCTAACCGCTCTGCACTGGGGACACTCCACGCATGTCACTCAGGCCACAGCTCGGGTCACACCTTGGGATGCCTGAGTCTCTCCCCAGCCCAGGCAGGCATGGATGCAAAAGGTGGGCATAGTGCCACCTTCCTGCCTGCCCACGTCCCTCCTCTTTTTCCTTCCCCAAACTCGAATGGCCTTTCCGGCCTCTTTCCTACGCCTCTGCTTCCTTCCCCCTGTCTCTCTGAGCCTTCCTCTGCTCCCTTTCCCTGTTCAGTCAACTTGTATCGAAACCCAAACGAAAACCATTATGAAGGGCGTAGCCTTAGCTTTTCGTGTCTCGGTTGTTGCCGCTTTCAAAGTTGAGACCTTGCTAGAGATTCCGAGGGCCCCAGTTTCCTCAAAGAGGTACATATATGATTATTTCTTTCCCCCTTAAAATGAGATGAAATGAGTGGCACCCTAGGGTGAAGGGAGGCGCTGGCTGGAGTCAGGGGCTGGGGGTGGGTGGGAGGGGGTGAGGGGTGACCAGGGAGGGAAAGCATCACTCAGTGTTGCTGCTGTCGAACGCGTGGCACTGAAAGTCCCCGTCCACATACTCCATGCCGGGCAGCTTCATCCCATACTTGTCCACGCACCAGCAGATGCCACGTTTGCGGCCACGGGAAGGCTTGCACTGCAGTGGAGAGAGTGACAGGAAGTGAGAGGGACTGTCTCTCAAGGCTCTGCTCCTGCCTGCCCAAGTAGAATCCTCACTCCCGAGAGTTGAGGGAGGGGGGTTGTATTTAATTCCTGGAGCCAGGCGGAGCCCAGGAAAAGAGTCTGAATTTAGGCCATCTGTCCTTGGCTAGCTTCCACAATCTCTCTTTAGGATCCTCTAGCCTGGCATCCTCAAAAGATTCTTTGGAGTCCTATGTGATAGGAGACAGCAATAACAGTACTATGAATAGGCCTCATGGTACAGCTTTGCCCTGGGCCTGTGAATGAGAGCTCATGATGGCGTGGTAGGTGTTTTATAAACATGAAGCCGTTATCCCTCCTCACTGGGTGGGGTGGGTCCCAGTATGACACAGAAGCACGGACCAAATAAAAATCACTGGGCTCAGGGAACCCAGCGGGCAAGTGGCAAAGCTGAGACTCTGGCTCTTCGCCTCTGACTTGGACTAGGTGTGTCCTGAAGGCAAGGGTTCTCAAAGCATCAGAGTCATCGGGGAACTTGTTAGAGAGAACGCTCAGCTCGAAACCCAGGCCAAGCAAGCAGGATTTTTTTTTGGGGGGGGCCGAGGGGGGATAACAAACCCTTCAGGTGATTCTGATGCCCTAGACATGGAAGGGTCAAGGTCTTAAGGTGATCCATAGCCCCTTGCTGGGCTAAGCATGACTGGCTAAGCTTGAAGCAGGGTTGCCTCCAATGAGGCTTGGTTATGGAGTCCATGAAAATGACTTCAGGTAGTACATGCATGTATATAGTTAAACAGCGGTTCTCCACTTTCCTAATGCTGCGACCCTTTAATATAGTTCCTCATGTTGTGGTGACCCCCCAACCATAAAATTACTTTCGTCGCTACTTCATTACTGTCATTTTGCTACTGTTATGAATCAGGTGACTCCTGTGAAATGGTCATTCGACCCCCAAAGGGGTCACGACCCACAGTTGAGAACCCCTGAGTTAAGAGGCAGAATTGGAATAGCATACACAGCGTGGGTTGGGATGAAGTTACAAAGCTTCCCCTAGACAAGAATTCCTGTGAGAAGAGTGAATGGATTAAGGATAAGTAGTCAATGGGAAGAGACCAAAACCACCTGACTGGGCTAGGCGAATGGACACTGAGGGTTTGGAAAACACCCCATCCTTCCTGGCAGAGTGCTCAGATGCTTGCTCTAGAGGGAAGGGCCATTTGAGGACCCCTCTGGGCTGGGGGCCCGGGCCAGGGCCCGGGGACACACCTGCTTTCTCTTGTAGAATCCTTTGCGGTCGCAGTTGGGCAGGTAGACGGCACGGGGCACCATGCGAGGGCTGGCTTTGAGCTCCTGCAGGGACGCTTCCATGTGTCTGCGGCAGGGACCCTGGGGGAGGAAGGGCAGGGATGAGCCGGTTCAGGGGACCAAGGATCCACCACGTGGGGGCCCCCAGGCAAGTCCCCACCTTGGGTGATGCCACCACCCATCAAGGATCTTGCCTCCCTCTTACTCTGGGAAGAGTTCAACACCTGCATGTACAGGTGCAGACGCGAACGTGCCCCGCTGCCCACCCAGAGTGAGCATTTCTATTTTGCTGAATCGTTCAGTTCAGAAGTGGCCCTCTCTGGACACCCCGGAAGGACGCTCACCGTGTGCCTGGGACTGGACACACAGCTACGGGCCTGCATACGTGGGGTGTGGGCACAGTGGCTAGCTGGCACCCTCGTTGAATTAGCCCAGCCTCCGCTTGGGCAAGCATTGGTCTGATAAATGTCGCTGCGATTTATTGTTAGCTACCCTCGAGTCCTGGGCAAAGGTTTTATTGTCCATTGGTTTGTTGGCCGTTGCTGTGCATCCGGAAGGAGGTCAGTGGCCAGTCTTCCTGCTAGGTCTAACCTCAACTCCGCTCGTGGCAGGGCCGATGGTGGCTTACCTGCTCTGACTCCTGCCTGGTCTCCGGGGCCGGGACGACGCGGGGGTGGGCAGTGTTCTCCGCTCCGCCCACGAACTTGGACTGAGTCAGCTTCTTCCTGCGGTCCTTCTTCACCGCCTCGGCCTTCAGCTCTGAGATGCGGCTGTGCTTGGGCCGGAAGATCTTGGGCGCGTAGGTCTCCTCGGTCACCTCGGACGTCGTGGGCTCCTCCTGCTCGCGCGAGTCTTTCTCGGCTGCAAAAGACAGGAGGCAGGTCAGGTCAGGTCAGCCTCAGGGGCTGGGCTCGGGGGTGCTCAGTTGATGAGGACTCTACCCCAGACGTGGGAGAGGACATGGAGCAGGGAGGTCAGCGCAGCGAGCCAAGGACACTTATGGATCCCTATAGTGCAGCGGTTCTCAACCTGTGGATCGCGACCCCTTTGGGAGTCGAACGACCCTTTCGCAGGGATT